AGGTTCCAACAATTCTTCTGCCTCAGCCTCCCAAGTAGCTGGAATTACAGGCATGTGCCACCATGCCTAGCTAATTTTTTTTTTTTTTTGTATTTTTAGTACAGATGGGGTTTCTCCATGTTGGTCAGGCTGGTCTTGAACTCTTGACCTCAGGTAATCCACCTGCCTTAGCTTCCCAAAGTGCTGGGATTACAGGTGTGAACCACCGCACCCAACCCATTTGCATCCTTTTATGTGCCTCTTCTTCAGTGCCTAGTCATTGGCCCACTCATTCATTCAAGTACAATGCTATTTTCACTAATCCGATTGGCAGAGACCAAAAGTTTGATAACACGCTGTCTTGGTGAGGCTGGGAGAATACATATGTTGCTGGTGGGACTGTACACTGATTGGTGTGACTCCTTTGAAGACAGTCTAGCAAAGATCTGTTAAAAGACAAATGCACACAACCCTGTGACCCAGCAATTCCCCTTCTGGGGTTTTATCATCTTACAAGTACATTTGCAGTGTAGAACAAGACAGGCTTCAAGGTTATTCACTGCACAGCCTTGTTTGTGAGAGCAAAAAATAGGGAACAATGAAATGCATGGCTCCTTTATACAGTGGAATACTATGCAGCTCTTAAAAAGGAATGGGGAAAGTGCTTTATGTACTGATATGAAATAATTGCCAAGATGTATTGTTAATTGGGAAAAAAAATTATGTCTAGAACAGTGTGAAAATATGTTCTTGTTCCTGTTAAAAATCACATCTGGCCAGATGTGGTGGCTCACACCTGTAATCCTAGCACTTTGGAGGCTGAGGCAGAAGGATCACTTGAGGTCAGGAGTTCAAGACCAGCCTGGGCAACATAGTGAGATCCTGTCTCTATGAAAAAAATAAAAATGATATTGCCAGATGCGGTATCACGTGCTTGTAGTCCCAGCTACTCAGGAGGCTGAGGTGGGAGGATCGCTTGAACCCAAGAATTTGAGGCTGCAATGAGCTGTGATTTTGCCCCTGCATGCCAACTTGGGTGACAGAGCAAGACCCTGTCTCAAAAAAAAAATTATATCTCTCTCTATATGTTTGCTTCTCTGTACATAGACATCTCTGGAAGGACAGACAAGAAGCTGGGTGTGGTAGTTCACACCTGTAATCCTAGCAGTTTGGGAGCCCAAGGCAGGTGGATCACCTGAGGTCAGGAGTTTGCCTGACCAACATAGTGAAACCCCATTTCTACTAAAAATACAAAATTAACCAGGCATGGCGGCACATTGCCTGTAATCCCAGCTACTTGGGAGACTGAGCATGAGAATCCCCTGAACTCTGGAGGCGGAGGTTGCAGTGAGCCGAGATCATGCCATTGCACTCCAGCCTGGGCAACAGAGCAAGACCTTGTCTCAAAAAAACAAAACAAAACAAATCAAAAAACCTGGAAATAGATGTTGCCTTTGGGAAGAGAAATGTGAGTGGAGACAGAGGTAGAAAGATGTTTCCTTACATACATTTGTGCATTTTAATTTTTGAGCCATGTGAATGTATTATCTGGTCAAAATAGACATATCAAAGAAAGTTTTTAAGATCTTTAGACCTGAGCCTGAGAAGAAAAGAGGTAGAAAAGAGCAATATTTAGGAGGCAAATGGGCAGGACCAGATGACCTGCACATGGGAAAGATAGAAATGGGGGTGATGCTGCCCTGCTTGGGGCGTGGGCAACCCAGCCAGTGCTTTTAGGTCATTTGCATCTGTCTGCGTTAATTTCCTCATTCAGTTGAGTGCGTGTCCAGGGTGATGCATTTGCATGTGCATCTGGGATTAGACCTTTCTGAGTATTTTTTACAACTTGTTTTTTTCTATTTTGCCAACGTCAGCACTTCCATTACATTTATTTTATTTTGTAAATCTAACAAGCATTTATCATCTGCAAGTCACTGAGTTTAGTTTAATTGCCACCTAGTTGTTTACTAAAGTTAAATAATGTATGTAAAGCACTTAGAACAGTGGCTGGCTCAGAGTGACCTCTCAGAAAATATTAGTGGTCCTCCTCTCCCACCTAAAAATGTTTGCACAGCTCTGGGCATCATGGGGACTTTTTAAGCAAAGCTAGTTTCTAGTTAATGAGGCTTTACTGTTTTCACAGAGTAAATACACATCATTTTCCACCTCTTCTTTTATATTGTTTAAAATTTTTAATCTTGAAATATTAATAAAAATAATTTTCTATAAATAGAAAACTGCAGGAAAGACTATAACAACCCATGCAGTCACCATCCAGATTTAACAGATTAATATTTTCTCATGTTCACTTTAGATATCACATACTAACTTTTAAAATAATTTTGGATCACAAAATAAAAACATTTTTAATTTGACTTTATTATATATAATATATATAGTTTATACATAATTATTCAAATATATGTTTACATATAGTATGTCTATTCATACAGTAAATACAGAAATAGTCATTGAAACATTGTATATAATAGTGAACAATCATTACCCTTGATCCCTTAAATCTCCCTTGAGAGATGGTGAAATGAATTATAAGGCATCTATGTGATCTTATACATCTGTTAAAAGCAATGAGATACGTTGAGAAGCCATGACATAGATGATTAAGATGAAAAGTGAAAAACAAAATGTAAGCTGGAGAATTGATATATTCCTGTTCCCACTTTTGCCTTTAAGGAAGTATGTTTCTGTTTAGGAAGAAGTATGAAAGAATGTTCATGATTCACTAATCTATCTGACTGACTGATTGACAGCTTCCCTCTCTGTTGCCCCTGCTCAAGTGCGATGGTGGGATCACAGCTCTTTGCAGCCTTGAACTCCTGGGCTCAAGTGATCCTCCCACCTCAGCCTCCTGAGTAGCTGGGACCACAGGCACATGCCACTATGTCTGGCTAAGTTATTTTTTGTAGCAATGAGTTCTCACTATGCTGCCCAGGCTGGGCTCAAACTCCTCACCTCAAGAGTGTGACACCTCGATTCACCAGTTTGAATCCTCCCACCTCTATCTTCCAAAGTGCTGGGATTATAGGCATGAGCCACTGGGCCCAGCCTCAGTAATGTATTAACTCTGGAAACTGCAGAGAACTAGAATCAGGTCAGGAAGCATTTATTTTCAACTTTATGCATTATCTATTACAAATTTTTTCTACAACTGATAGGCCTTACTCTAATAATAAAATAATAAAACATCTAAAGGATACATTTTTTATAATACAAGTGGTATAGCTTATTAAAATCAAATCAGAAAATTCAGAAAAGTACAAAAAGGAAACCTTCTCTAGGCACATTTTCTAGCAAAAACTATTTACTATTTTAGGGTATTTCCTTCCAGGTTCATTTGTAAAGATTTTTGTTGTCATTTACCTTTTAAAAATAAATGATCCCACTGTATAATATAATCTTTTCTTGCACTAATCATGATCACTAGTATTTTCCTTGTAGACTTTTTTTTTTTTTTTTCATTACAAAAATATTCCACTGAGTAGGTTTCCTGGTTTTCTAATCCCCCATGCTGCAGACATTTGGGAAGTATTCAGCTTCTTGCTATGACATATAATCCTGCAAAGGAACATATTTCTTCATAAACCTTTTACAGTATTTAAGATTTTTCCCTTGGATGGTGTCACAGAGGTGTCAATACTGGGTCAAGCCCATCTGGCCAGGTTGCTTCCTGGAAGAGTCCTTTTATATTTTTACCATTGCTGGCGTGGTGGCTCATGCCCATAATCCTAACACTTTGGGAGGCCGAGACAGGTGGATCCCTTGAAGACAGGAGTTCGAGACCAGCCTGGCCAATATGATGAAACCCCATCTCTACTAAAAATACAAAAATTAGCCAGGTGTGGTGGTAAGCACCTATAATCCCAGCTACTTGGGAAGCTGAGGCAGGAGAGTTGCTTGAACCCGGGAGACAGAGGTTGCAGTGAGCTGAGATTGTGCCACTGTACTCCAGCCTGGGCAAAAGAGCAAGACTCCATCTCAAAAACATAATAAATAAAAATAAAATATTTTTACCCTCTAGTGACACAGTCCATTTCATCCCAGCTCCCCAGTCCTGGGGACGATTGTTTTAAACAGCCATTTCTGAAACAATTGGCCACATCTAAGTGAAGCAGATAGAGGCATTCTTTTTCTTTCTTTCTTTCTTTTTTTTTTTTTTTTTTTTTTTTTTTTTGTTTTTTTTTTTTTTTTTTTTTTTTTTTTTTTTTTTTTTTTTTTTTGAGACGGCGTTTTGCTCTTGTTGCCCAGGCTGGAGTGCAGTGGCATGACCTTGGCTCACCGCAACCTCTGCCTCCCAGGTTCAAGCGTTTCTCCTGCCTCAGCCTCCCCAGTAGTTGGGACTACAGGCGTGTGCCACCACACGATAAGGACATTCTTTATATGATTCCTGCAAATACTGTGAGTTTTGAATTTTTCAAAAAGATTTTTTAAATGTCACCAACTTGATGAGGAAGCAGAGTTTTGCCTTAGAATTTGCATCTCTTCGAATTTTCATTTTCCCCCATTTGCATGCCTTTGAAATTGTGTCTCTTCTGTTACTAGGAGCTTTGAGCATTTCCCCAGATGGGGTCCTACCAGCTTTATTTTCTCTTTTATGTTTGTCCATGTCTTTTCCTTAGTAAATAAACAGTCATACTTTTTATTGTTAATTCATGTGGGATTTTCATGTGATAGAAACATCAGACTATTGCATGTGCTACACATCTTTTCTGTGGTCACTGATTCTTTTTGTCTTGACATCTGTTCATTTTTATTTTCACGTCTTACTTGTCCATTGGGAGATTTTTTTTACCATCATTTCTAAGCTAAGAAAAGTCTTTTCCTCCTAAAGGTTTCACAGTGAATCAGCTGTTTCTCTGTGGATTTATTCTGATCATATGTGTACTCTGCTACTTGACCGTTGGTCCATTGAGACCTGGTTTCAGGTTCCTCTCTAGAGACAGGAGGCTCTGAGGTTGGCTGACCCATCTCCCATCCCTTTCTTTTAGCCTTTGCTTCTCCTCTGCTCCTAAGGAGGCCTTCTGTCTCCTCTACAGCAGGTGGGAGCAGTATGTTAAGTGTGAAGTTCTGGGAGCCATGTTTCCTTCATCCAAAGAGAGGTATTTCCACTCTTCAGCCAGTAACCCACTTTGCCCCAGCATTCTCTTTTCCTTTTTTTTTCTTCCCTGAGACAGAGTCTTTCTGTGTTGCCCAGGCTGGAGTGCAGTGGCATAATCACGGCTCACTGCAGCCTCCATCTCCTGGGCTGAAGTAATCCTCCCACCTCAGCCTCCCTTGTCGCTGGGACCACAGACACGCACCACCATGCCTAGCTAATTTTTTAATGTTTTTTTTTTTTTTTTTTTTTTGAGATGGAGTATCACTTTTCTTGCCCAGGCTGGAGTGCAACAGCGTGATCTTGGCTCACTGCAATCTCCACCTCCTGGGTTCAAGCGATTCTCCTGCCTCACCCTCTCTAGTAGCTGGGATTACAGGTGCCCGCCACCATACCTGGCTATTTTTTTGTATTTTTAGTAGAGATGGGGTTTCACCATGTTGGCCCGGATGGTCTTAATTTTCTGACCTCGTGATCCACCCACCTTGGTCTCCCAAAATGCTGGGATTACAGACATGAGCCACCGCAACCAGCTGAAAATTTCCTTTTTTTTGAGACAGGGTCTCACTATATTGTTCAGACTGGTCTTGAACTCATGGGCTCGAATGATCCTTTAACTTCAGCCTCCTCAGTAGGGGGTACCACAGGCGTAAACCACCATGCCCAGCTATTTTAGAACATTTTTATCATCTCCCTAAAGAAATTCCATACCCATTAGCCGTCATCCCTGTTCCTCCCTGGACTCCCCTCCCAGCCCTTTGCAGCCACTTCCTGTCTCTGTGGATTTGCCTATTCTCAACATGTCATAGAAATGGAATCATACACTATACAGTCTTTGTGTCTGACTTCTTTTACTTAGCTTGTTTCTAAGGTTCTATGTTGTTGCATGGATCCTTACTTCATATTTCTTTTTCCTTTTTTTTTTTTTTT